CCCACGGCTTGTCTCCACAGAAATGAATAATGCTAGGTTTTATTCCCCTCATTTCATAAAACCATTTGTTACAGCCATACTTAATATGGACATGATGCCACTGAGTTTTGTACAACTGCGTAAAAAAGTACTCGTCAGGTCCTACAAAGTTTGCGGTAGTTCCTATCTGAGGAAGTGAGCTTGCCAGTAGATAATCATCAATGTTTGGACTCAAAACCATTGTACATCCATAAACTCCATAATTGTTCTCAACAGCATTTTCGATTTCCAACTCGGGTATTTTCGACCCATGCCAGTAGTTGTGATTTCTAATACTGGAGCAGATACCCGCCGGGGTTTGAAGAGTAAAGAGATCGTCAATATTGCTCAAAACAAGCGAGTCAGCGTCTAACCAGACGATTTTGTCATATTCGGTGAGGTTCAACAGCCGGGCCTTTGTCAAACTGTACTGTATCCACGCATCCTCACTACGGTACCTCTTTCCTCTCAGCGCGCTTTTTACTCTGGTTTTAATGTACTGTACTTTTATTACTCTGTCATAGAGCTTGCGCAGTAGTTTCATAGAGTGGACACTAACGTCCGGTGTTACCATGACAATCAAGTCGTGTTGGGTTTTTTGTTGCCTTAGCGACCAGGCAAGCGTCAGAGCCCCTTTAACGTACTCGTCTCCGCACATAACCAAAGTAACGAATGCATACCGCGGGCGCGGAATTGTTTTTCTAAATTCTCTCTGTAGATGTTTGAGTGTTTTTGTTTTCGGTGGCGCAAACTGTGAAGTCTTGTTCAGTTTTCGTTGGTCTGAGTCAATAACTTCTCGTAGTAGAGTTCTTCTTGACATCTTTCAATGGTTCTTTGCCTAACCTGGGAGGTAGATAAAATTGAAATAGCTAATTCTTACTTTAAATTCTCCCGTTACCGACAAGAGGCACTTGCAATAGCCTGCAGAATAGGCGTTTTTTTTTTTTTGGCGTTTGTCATACGAGCGAGGAGCGCGAGAAACGCCTGACGGGGAAAGGCGCACGAAAAATAACGCCTGTTCTGCAGGCTCCTGATAGGCTCCAGTCGTAGGTGACTCACGCCCCTCGCTCGCTTCGCGCTTGCATTCGCACGACTGAAAAAAAAGAAACAAAAAAAGCTTGCTCTAAGGGTTAATTTGTAAAAACGGTATTAAGAATACTCCAACCTTCAAGCAAAAGTCGTGTAATCAAAGATAAAAGCCTTAATCAAACCAGTGATCTTATAGTCAGTACCGAATAACATCGACTGAACTCTCTCTGCGGCCGACCGATGCTTTTAAAGCCTGCGTAATAACTTGATTGCCTAGCTGTACTTAGTGTGTAAAGCTCTACGACGGCGTAAACAGCTTACAAATGACAAGTTAAATACGCATTAACAAGTCGTTCTCTGTGCGGCGGTAACTTGATCCAATTTGTTTTGCACTGAACCTGTTAATAAGCTATTGTGTTTGCTAGATACAACTTTAATAACGGTTTCAACCATCTATACAAAAGCTTTTGACTCTATTCAGCTTTCGAGTTATGAGGTGTAAATAATCAAATGTATATATGTAATGAAGTCAAGACCGATCAGTTGTCTTTGCTTTTAGATGGTTTTTCCACCGTTACATTTTCGAGTTTTCATCATCAGTTTTATGTCTTTCTCTAGTTGTTATAGGAAAAGCAACTTTGGAACTATAGACTAGAAGCAGATTTGGAACTATAGATTCAAAATCTAGAAGAATATTAATAACGTTTTTAAATGGTCAAAATAAATAAGTGAACGAAAATCACAAAGCAGGACTTTTTTTGCAGAATCAAGGTAACAACATGTTCCGTACGTATTACAAGGGTCACCATGAAAAATAGCGCATCCCGCAATCTTAGGCGAAGGACTGATGCTTGAGGCATGAGCGATGTGCAACAGCTAGTGACCAGTTTGACTTAAGAGTAAGTTGATTGAACAAGTTTTCGAGCTTGATTCTGTTACCTATACACCTCAGAGATCATTTGTTACAAGGAGACTGACTTAAATGACAAGACTTAATTATTGACCATACAGAAAGGAAACTTCTCTTTTACAAACTAGAAATTCGCTGTGATCAGTGTGAATTTAGAAGAACCTAATTGCCTAGCTATCATGGCATAAGTGATAGCTATTTCGATACTGTGCAAGAAGGCTGGCGCTAATTTGTACCTCGATTTAACTTACTCCCTTGTTTGAAGTGAATATGTTGCCCCTTAGATGTTGTTGTTGTTGTTGTTGTTGCGGAATCTTACTTACTTCCCAAGTTTGTTTACATGGGAAGGAGTCTTAATAAATAAGTCTTGACATGCATTGTACGAGGGGAAGTATTAAGTATAGCAAGTCTGAACTTACACTTCTCTAACAGATGCTGTGTTCCTCTTCGTAAGCCAAAACGAAGCATGATTTCGCAAAATTATGCGGTAATGCGCAAACAGTGCTTTATGCGATAAAGTATTTTAAGTGTCTGTTGCCGGTATTCAACCGCACGCATAATTTAAGGTTCAGCTTACAGCTTTGTTATAATACAAAAGCTGCCTGACAATAATGGATTAAAATAAGAAGCTTAAAGCAGTGAAAATGTAAAGCATTGTTATATTAACATGGTAGATTTAATTATAAATATGTCGCGCGTAATGTTCTTTGCATGAACGTACTGTACTCCAAACTATGACAGTAACTTATTTGAGCAGATTAGCCGTGTCCCTTCATTCGCAGACAATTATAACACTGAGTTTCCAGTTAACATAACTCAGTTTTCCTACCCTAGTAACACAAAGGCAGGGAAAACGAAAAGTTTAGTATTTTTACAACTTCTTATAGTGCTGGCCTGTTCATATCAGAGGCACCGCCCTTGAGGTAAACTACAAGCTGGAAGAGGGGTGCGCGCCTCATGGGACTATGTCTTACTGTACTGGATAGCTCTCGCGCCGGCAATAAAGCCATACCCAGATCCCGGGGGGGGGGGGGTACTGCCATATATGGGCTATACTGGTATGTGCCGCTGTGAAGGGTATGGTTTTCAAGCAGTTTACTCTAGGATAGGGTACTAATAAATCAGAGCGTTTGGCTCTAGAATAGGGTATTATTTTTCAGGAAACTGATCAGTTGGTTGAAGATTTTATGTAGACTAGGGATTGTGGTAGGATAGGGGGGATTAGGGGACTTTACTCTAGCATAGGGTAGCAAAATTCAGCTGAACTAGCTCTGGTATAGGTTAAGGGTTCCAGGATCCCAGCAGCACATTCCCACCCAGAAATTCCTGAAGTACCCCCCCCTCCCCCGGGACCCAGATAGGGCTTTCGTTCACACATAAGAACGGTGATTTCGGCGCGATTTCTGTAACGGCTTGAGGTTAAGCGGCGCTGATCTCGAACGTGAAGCTTCACATATCGGATAGGTTCTGTGCCACACTTTGGTGAAGGTATTCGGACCGTAGCGGACGTTAATAAGTAGGAATAAGGTCTGGAATCCACCGAGACGGAAGCACATAACAAGGAGTGATTGAGTACTGGCCAAAAAGGGCACCAAACCCTCACGGCCAACCGCTTCGGCGCAACTGCGATGTGTGTGAACGACTTATTCCAGTCCCGGGCCGTTGTTGTTCGTACTATATCGAGCTTTTCGTGTCGACCGGCAAAGTGTATCTACATACTTTTAGCACATTTTTAATATTTTTTTTTTCTGAAACTTATTGCTGTATCGAGTGCTAGACTACAACTCAAACTCAGTCGTATCACCGCTTTTATCGCGGCGTACACTGAGAGGTGACCTGCAGTCCTTGTTTTGAGAACAGACAAAACAAAAGAAATTTGACTCTTTATTCAAACAGAAAGGATAAACATTAGCAAGGTTGTCGTCTTGTTCTAGAACAATACAGTGGTTTTATTGCTGTTCCTTTTGGAAACAGCTACGCAACGCACCACAGCTGCCGACTCTTGATGATAGCTTAGCTTACCATCAACGTTGCCTGAATTATTTTATAGCTTGTTTTACAGCCAAAGTTTGATTCGTTTGATGCATTGAAATTACTCTCCAATCGAGTGACTACTATAATTTACGATAAGCCTGAGAAACTTCAAAAGTTAAGTTTAAGCTGTAACAAAAAGCAAGCGTTTAACCCATGTCGGCTGAATTTCTTTCAATTTTCTCAGTTTTGTACAAGGAATAAGACCGCTTATTATATTGCTCTTCTTTCAAATTTATCGTTTTCATGAAAATTGCATGAACGCGAACTAAACTAAACGACTGGCTATGTTTTTAAACGATTTCCTTACCTAAATTAGCGTCGATGTCTTACATTTCTCTCACCTCAGATCTTGAAATCTACGTTTCATCAGTGCTTCTACCCTTCATAGCTTTTTTTATCCTGACTGTGAAGCGACAAACGAAAAGTGTTGTCAGGACAACTAATAAATTTATTATTTGCTGCCACTGACATACACCTGCCGTTGATATAATGGGTGTTTATGTAAGACTCGCGAAATGAATGACAAAATAAATTAAATATTAAAAAAATTAAATTGTGTCCTACTAAACCTTATAACAAAAGAAATAACTGGACCTCGGCTTTTCTAAGAGGAAAGAAAAGAGACGAATAGCAGTTTTTTAAAAACGTTCTGAAAAAGGTTAAAAAGTTGTATTTGAACTTAATTTGGGCAATAACTAGATAAAGCAAAAGGCCTATGTTTTGAAACTTTTCCCCCTAAATTTCGACGTTTGATGGCAATTTCGCCCTCGTCACCAAGTCTTACCCTTTCCTTTCAGTTTTTCCTGTATATTTATCACTGGGTATGTTGCTGTGCTGAAGTCGGGCCGGGCTGTAGCTAGTAATAAGTAAGACGAGTCGTTTGTCTCGTCTGTCTCGTCGTGACTTTTTACCTTTCCTCTGCGTGTTGGTATATCTTGAGCAGCAACCCAATAATAGCTTTGAATTCGTACCTTTAATATAGTGACAATTTTTCGCCTGTTTTGGAGTTGAATGCGAAAGGCTGTGAAAATTATTGACAATTAATACCGTACAGAGAAGCTAAAAGCTTTTTGCAATTGGTGTACTGTCTTCAATTGGTGAAATGCCCTTCTGGTCTTTTGCGCACTAAATACATGCATATAATAAGTGAAGCTATAGAAGTTATAGACATTTGTATCGAATTTTACAAAGTTGGGCCTGATTTCCAAGGGCTTATTTTTGATACAACTCGTACGTGTCATCGCGAATTTAAAGACATCCAAAAATATTTACCTGAAGGAGCTTGGCCTGTCATCATGCGATAATTAAAAGTGTTGCTCTCTACCAAGATAGGATATCCTCCCTAGTCTCTACTGTGTATTTTATTGCTTTTCTGATCAAGAGAGAGAGCCACCAAAGTAACACATGCATACGGTACCGCGGGCGCAGATGATTGATTTGTTCTTTGTGAACTCTGTGACAGTTTGTTAGATTCGATGAACAACCCCCCTAGGGGGAGGGGGTTGAAGAGGAATACTCAACAATATATGCGGAGGCTCTGCCTACCTTACTTCTTCCGTATACCTTCCATTGAAAACATGGATGCGAGGGATAGGACCGAAAAAAACAAACCGCCAAATCCTACCTCCCTGAGGGGCCCGTTTCCCAAAAGTCCCCGGCGTTAAGTTTTCCAGCCTCTGCGTAAGAATTAGTCTGCGAAAACAGCCGTTTCTCCTCGCTCTTCACCGCTGGGGACGTTTCGCGCGGAGGAACGACTTTCCTCCGCGCGAAACGTCCCCAGCGGCTGTTTTCGCAGGCAACGTAAGAATTGAAAGAATGCTTGTATTGTGGGTTCCAGCTCCTCCAACGATTACTACTTTCGTTAACTTATAGCTTTATTGCATCACCTTCAAAACCACTAAACTTCAATGTTAAATGCACTCGTTGCAAACATAAGAAGGCTCAGTTTCCGGGATTTTTTCGGGACTTTCACGAAACGGGCCCTAGGGGAGTCTCGATCGTAATAAATTATGCAGAGTCAGAAGCCCATTAAGGGCTCCTGCAGGAGCAGTAGGCTCCTGGCTCCTGAAAAAGTGACGTTCAATTGGAAAAATGTTACAGCAAACCAATCCAAACTTCATGAAGCGAGCTCTCGAATTCTTTCTCTATCCTATCTTATGCCCCAACAACAACAACAGCAACAACAAGCTTTATTTACATTTCGCTTTAGAATAATAATAGTTACAGAAGGTAGTTTTAGTCTAACGGTCAGTTACATGCAGCGTAATAAAAGGAAAACTAAATATACATTACAGGTAAGGAAATGCCTGGCATCTAAATAAACCGTTAGGTTTCCCAGTTAGATACTAGTCTTGTATTGTTATAATTTAAAATGTAGACATCAAGTGCAAAACATAAGTGCTGATGTCTACATAGGGCACGAATTCTTGCCAATAATGGCGGAGTTATGAAAAACATGTCAGGTCGCCATGACTGACGCCGTAGACCCCTCTAAATTATTAACTATGTTGAGGGAGAGATTTGGACATATTTTAATGCTGACTGATCACAACGCATGCGCAGAAAAGAAGGGCTCAATTGCACATAATTAAATTTTCATATTTCTGTTACAAAGGAGTAACAATTACAGACATTCATATAGACGGGGCGTAATTAAGTTTTGTTCGCGCTCTAAATTATTAACTACTTTTCCAAGCGAAGGAATCCTAGTGCGTAATGTTAGAAAATGGCTCTTTAATGATGCTTAGAGCGAGGAAAAATTGCTACAGTTTTTTCGTTGGTGGCTGGGAGAGTCTATGGCCGGCACGAGTCTTCAATAGACAAGACCGTTACAACATTCATCTTTCATAAAGGTAAAAAAAAATCTTAGAAGTTTTCCGCAATGATAACAAGACAGGCAGGTGGTTTCATTAAGAAAAATATTGTAGCTTTTACTTTCTTAAATAATTCTCAAGAGTTTCCTTCCCTAAAAACCTGATCCCACAACTAGTACCCTAACATTTTTGCAAACGGCACAACTCGTTTTGGTCATGTTCTTGCTAAGCGCATTGAATCGAAAGAACAGCATTGCTGGTTGCAGATGATGACGCTCTCCAAGTTTTTATGAGCCGGGTGCTTCAATTAAGGAATAAAAGCTTAAAAGAAATGTTAAACTATGCATCAAAAACAGAAAAAGCTATACAAGATGTGTAGAGTGCATTTACTTTATCATCTACTTCTAAGGTGACAAGTAAAACATCTGTCTTCACGAATTGTATTTTAAACTGTAGAAGATTCTTTTCAATTAAAATTTAAACTATGTTGAATCGTTAGCATAATAAAGTTTATTTTTCAGAGCTTGAAGGATTTGTAATACCAAGAACTTGACAGTTTTAGATAGCATTTAATTCTCTAGAGCAACGAAACAAAATATATCGCTTATGAGAAAAATCACAGATTTAAACCGGCTCGACGACTGTTGTAAATGATTATATTTAAGAAGGAGGTGATTACGTAAATAATGATCATGATGTCGATTTTCTATGTATGTTTTTTACAAGTTCTACGATTGGCACTTGAGTTCTGTTTTCAATAGAATCAGAGTAGAAGATCAAAGCAAGAGCACAAAGAAAAAAACTTGAATAACCGACTCTTACATGTAAGTGCAGTTATCAAGTACACTGAGCTGCCATCTAAATCTCCAAAAACTGAATTATTCCCGCAAATTAATCAACACACCGACCTCTTTATAGATATTCTTTTTTATTAGGTTGACAGACTTTTCTAAAGTTTATTTTAAGGATTGTCCCTTGTTAAAATCTGCAAAGGATAGTCACTCTTTGTTACAAAGCATATTCTGCAAGATAACCTAGCTTTTCTTTCCCGAGCCGAATTCGAAGCGGAAAGGCAGCCCTCTGATTGGGCTAAAAATGTTTCATTTGTTCATCGAGAAATAGCAACCTGCTTTGACGACGTCAATGCGAAATAAGTCCTCTTGACAAAAACTTTTCTTTGAACTGATATTCCGACGCAAATATTTCAGCTTAAAGCTCGAAATTGTCAAGGGTCTAAATAAGTTAGCAAGGCCAATACAGTGCCTTGATCTCTCAGCTGGAATATCAAGGTCAATTTACAACCAAAGATTAGAATGAAACAAAACCTCTATACACTCTTGCAACTTTTAATAGTGGCGAAAAGATTGTTTTGTAGCTACAATGTAGTTTAGAGTCTTTTGATGAGTTGAAAAACTGCCACAAACAAAATGCAGAAGAGCCAAAGAATTGCCGTTTTTTGCCAAGTTACCAATAAAGATTCAATTTACTTCAACCCAGTAGGGCCACTATGCGATTCTTCAGCACTGATTTTTATTTTCATCATTTACACGATATTTACTGAGCCGCTACAATATTTTGGCGGCCGCAATAAAGATTTTGTGAAGAAACGATTAAGGTATGATGTCTGACATGCATGATCGATTCATATTGATTGCCCCTCTGCCAGCACTAACGTTACTGTCTCAGAAAAATAGCCAATATATTAAGCCTGTCAGTGCTTGATTCAGAACATAGATACTTGGTTTCTTGATTTTTTTGTGTAGTAGTTTCCTTTCCCTCCCGTGCTCTAGTTTTTTATTCGTGTCACGAAACATACAGTTATCACTGACCAGTTACGTCAGTAACTATGTATTGTTCCTTTCATTCTAGGTGTATCGTTCATCATTGCACCTCAAGGGTCAAAAACGTAAAGCAGAGTTTCAGTTCGCAGATAAACATTAGCGCCCATGAAGAACAGAAGATTGTTCTCCAATGTCAAAAGCACTAACAGTTCTCAAAGTGTTTTTTTCGCTTGTGTCTATAAATTCTACGCAGGATCCTCCTTTAACGCGTGTAGAGCGGGTTTACGTTGGACAAGCATTCCGGATTTCTTTTCTTGAATACTTTGAAGACGTTATTAAAGGTGATCAAAACGGGCTTCAGTTTGAAATGAACATAAACAACAACTGGATGAAGTTTGACGACAGACCTGAAAAAATTGAGGTGTATGGTTTTCCATTGAAAGGAAATGCACACAATTTTGATTACAATATCAAGGTCAAGAATTCCACCGAGGCATTACTACACGAGATTACATTAAAGCTCTTGGTGGGGGAAAATGGATTCAAAGATGCTCGTAACTTTACAGACAAGTACAGCCACGAAGTGATCTTAAAGACAGGAATTGAGTTTAATTACCATCGGTTCATGACAAGGGTGGATTTGAGGATTGACTTTGTTAGGAAATTGGCAGATTACTGCTTCAACAAAGAACCTAACTCCGTCTGGATCAAAGATTTTAACAAAGACACCAAGGAACTGACAGTTGTATTTGTTAATATTGGTTACTATCCTTGCCATAAAGAAACATACAGGGAACTTAGATCACGTTTGGTCGATAAAAACTCAAAGATCCAAGAAGCATTTCAAAGAGCGCTGACCGGAAAATTTCCGATAGAGAGCGTTCAGTTTAGGTTTTTTGGCGCTTGTGACAAAAACTTGTTGGAACCAGAAGACAGCTCTTTTTCTTGGGGCATTCTAAAACATTTCGCGCCTCTTGCTATTATTTTTGCAGTTGTAGGAATTNGTAACTTTACAGACAAGTACAGCCACGAAGTGATCTTAAAGACAGGAATTGAGTTTAATTACCATCGGTTCATGACAAGGGTGGATTTGAGGATTGACTTTGTTAGGAAATTGGCAGATTACTGCTTCAACAAAGAACCTAACTCCGTCTGGATCAAAGATTTTAACAAAGACACCAAGGAACTGACAGTTGTATTTGTTAATATTGGTTACTATCCTTGCCATAAAGAAACATACAGGGAACTTAGATCACGTTTGGTCGATAAAAACTCAAAGATCCAAGAAGAATTTCAAAGAGCGCTGACCGGAAAATTTCCGATAGAGAGCGTTCAGTTTAGGTTTTTTGGCGCTTGTGACAAAAACTTGTTGGAACCAGAAGACAGCTCTTTTTCTTGGGGCATTCTAAAACATTTCGCGCCTCTTGCTATTATTTTTGCAGTTGTAGGAATTCCAGTGACTATTTCAATTTTAGTAAAGAGACACATACGTAGAAATAAACGTCCAGCGCAGGAGGAAAGGCTGCCTCGAACGCTGCGAAGAAGAAATGAGGACGGAACGGAGTGCACATCGCATACTGTTCATTTCAACAATCGTTATCCTTCGATGCTGTCACCCTCAAATAATTCTAGAGACGAAAATGTTGGAGATGAAGAGAAGATCCACAACGGGAAGGCAAAAATTGCGAATGGAAGCGTGGGAGGTGGACATCTGACCGTGCCCAACGCACATCTAAGTCGACCCAAGCAGGGAGCGAGCGCGACAAACACAGGAAAAAATAAGAAAAATCCGTTTAAATTTGCATCCAATGAAGAAAGGGCGAAATTTGACGTCCGTGCCATGTGGGACGATGATGATGATGATGATGAAGAGTCTTTAGAGATTCCCACATATTACACTTACAGGATCACTGATGAAGGTGAGACTTCAATGTTCGATGCCGTGCTAGACATGAACTTGTCTGACATTGCTGAAAACATTTCCGCCAGGCTGAAAGGTGTAAAGTCTATGTTGAACATCCAAGAGGATACCACCTCGCAGCATCATCAACCGACCCATCAATCGACTAATTCTGGGCCGAGCTTGTCATCGAGACTGAAGGGACTGGGCAAGTCAATGCTTAACGTTTCTTTGACAACGAACGGGCCCGATGTGACTGCGGGCCCATCTTCAGGTGAATCAGCGACGCCTTCTCTTTCCAGCAAACTTCGGGATTTTGGAAAATCCATGTTGAATATTTCAATCGGCACGGAAAATGAAAAGATGGACGCGAAGACTGGATGGGAAGTAGAAGAAGATTCTTATGAGGATTCTTATGAAGAAAGCTATTCTTACTACAATCCTAGGGAATGCGATGATGCGAAATCCAAACAGCATGTCCACAGTAGCGCTTGGGAAGGTTACGCCGGTCATACACAAGGAGATTACTGTGAAGTACGACATGGCTACGAAGATTCACGACAAGGATACGATGAAGCCCGACCAGGTTACGACGGCGAACAGCGATATTACGATTCAAACGCTAAACAAAGCTATGATTTTATGAAAGACGGCCGTTCGGAAATAGGTTTTGTTCGTAATTTTAATCGTCGACTTAGCAGCACTTCGGGTAACACTTCTGAGTATGAACTTGCGCAGTACAATTTCCCTGTTTGTTATGATGTTTCAACTGCGAAATACCAACACACTAATAAAGATTCTCTTGAAAGTAATAACCGTGCTACCAGACCGTCTTCCAGGGAGGACGATTTTGATGAATATCCACCATCATTATTTGAAACCTCGAGCGAGACCAGTCTTGCAACTGAGCAAGAAAAATCCATTTTCGACACTGATTATGATCTCGCTTCGACAGACAATAGGCCTAGTCTTACTAAACCGGTTCCTATCTGGAATCACAACTCGATCAGTAAGGCAAGGGAAGGTCTTAATGAAGTCAAATACCACGATTATATTAACCCGCATCAGTACAGCAATGGTCCCAGGCGTGTCTCCACGCGAAGCAAATCATCGTACAATGTACAAGGAAACAGCAGCGTTTCTAGCCAATCAACGCTTGACTTCTGGGACGATGACGAATTTGGCGGGAACACAGGCTGGAAGCAGTCCTCAGATATGAAGAGCAGCTTTTTAGCGACCATAGCAAATTCGGTCCCTGATTTGAGGCGTGGGGTGAGGAAGACCAATGGCACAATACCACAGAAGAAAAATCAACAGGGAAACTCGCTTCTTTCCAATGTAAAATCTTCACTCTCGGGAGAAAAACCTCCTGTTGTTTTTACACTTGGTGATAGTGACCAAGAAGAAGAAGAAGTACCAGAAAAGACACAGCAGAAACAACAGCTACCCGAAAGGAAAAGCTCTTTGGTCGGTATGATCAAGACGGGTGTTAGCAGCATACTTGAGCCTGATAGTAGTGTATCGAAGTGGTTTTCTGGTTTTCAAAACAGCGACAACCCTGTCACGTAGTATAAAGAGATAATAAATATTTTGAATGAGATTTTTCAGGATCGTACAGCCACAAATGGTGGGCACCTGTCATGGGGCACTCTTTCTTTCAGAAAGCGATTGAAAACCAGTGTGAGCAAGATTCTTATTGGCTTGCCGGATTTAAAGCGGACCCGGATTTAAAAACTTGTTTCTGTAAGACCGTTTATCATCACAAGGACCGCAAATTTGCAAGCTATAAACATTAAAGTTGCTCGGATACTTTTTGGAAAAGTGATCACAGTGATTGCACCATGCTTGAGGATAATATGTGAACAAACGGAAGCAAAGACTTCCAATCTTTACCGTATTTTTGTCTTTTAGTCAGTTAACGTTTTTTAGTGGCGAACTGCAGATCAAGGCCCCTTTAAATGCATGTTCTCTTAGTATTCTTGGGAGATTAAAAGCGGAATTTGCAAGTTTCTTTTTTAGGAGGTAAAACGATAATAGAAACGAACAATTTCCTTTTGTAAAAAGTGATCATTACAATTATAAGTACAGGCAATAACATGCAATAAGAAGCTCTTAATAGGATATTTCTTTCCTTGGAGCAAAAAAATGTAGATACACTATGTCCCGTTCGAAGGATATAAACCAGGGTAATTCGTTACGAATTTGTGGTGTTGTGTCGGTGAGGAGCGAAAAGTGAGCTGTCTTTTGTTTGGGACGTGTTTTCCAGCTTTAAAATTGGGTAAAGGCAAATTTTAATACATGTACTTGCGCAGACCCTTGTCTAGACTGATTTGCTCTCTCAGGGTTTGCAGGCTTACGCCTCAAAACGTCAGGTTTTGAATCTCCAAAAAAAAAATTGGCTGAGGGGAGGGGTAGGGTAGGTGGGAAGTTTCCCACAAACGTATCAGCGGATCCTTCTTTGTCTTCTAGGTTTCTGGGAAACTGCCCACCTACCCCTCCCCTATGCAAATGTGTGTTTTTTTTTTTCGGAGATTCAAAAGCTGACGTTTTGAGGCGTAAGCCTAGCAAACTCTATGATAGAGCAAAGCAGTCTAGACAAGGATCCGCGCTAGTAAATCTATTTATCAACGTTCTTTTTGAGAGAGGGCGTTTGTTTAAGAGTTGGCCAGTCAAAGGATGTCAAACACGCGTCCTGGTTGTTGCACGAACGATGAGCCCACGAGCTAGTGTAATTGTATCAGAATCCTGCGGTTTTAAACAATGTTTATTATGTTTTTGTAACATACAATAACGCTAATTAATATTGCTATATCTAACTGTAGTACAAACAAGGACAGTTTGAATATTGTCTGCAAAGCTGTTTGACGCCAATAATCTTAAAATAGGATGTCTAAACTTTTTTTAGTCTAGTTGTTCTCATTATTAATCCTGCTATGATCGTTATTGAGATATATTTGAAAATGTGACTTAGTTTTATTCGCAACCTAGGAATTTTTTCTTCTTTCTTAGTATGGTTCATTTCTTAATATTGCTGATAGCTGCTTAAATATTTCTCTGTAAAAGCTAAAAATTAAACTGTGAAATTAATGAAGAAGGGGGTCCTTTTTTCCTGGTTGTGAAGTATTTGTTTAAATGAAATTACAGCTTGTAATGCTTGAATAAGGACATCATGATTTCAGTTCAGTGCAGTTACACCCGGTTGAGTGTGCTTTTATTTTTAAATCATCTCGGCTGAATTTTCAAAACCAAACAGTAATGCCAACGATGATAAATAAGGACTAAGCTTTTAAAATAGGAGAAGTCGTTTCGTCACTTTGCCATGGTAGCAAGATTTCTGGATCTCAACATACCGTGGTCCTGCAAATATGGCAGAAGAAAAAAACGACAAAAAGTGACTAGCCTGCGTAGCAAGCGTTTCTGTACGGTTTAGGAGAAAAGAACGAGGAACGAGAGTCAAAGACCGCGAGAAAAGTGGCGCAAGTAAAAGAGCGGGGAGGGGTGGGGAAGAAAGGTTTCCTTCCTTCCCCTCCCCCTCCCCCCTCTTTCACTTTTTGGCTCTCTTTTCATTTCTCGCGCGGTCAAAACCGACAGTCCCCTTCCTCGGTATTTCTTAGCCTGTTCCAAGCGTTCAGATAGTGGAGAGCGGTGCAGAGTAAAGAAAGCGATGAAAAGTAGAGGGGGACTGGGGAGAGAGGTGCGGGAACCCTCTCTCACCTCTCCTCCTCTCTCGCTTTTATTTTTTCGCGCTCCTTTTTACTTCGCACCGCTCCCCACTATCTGAACGCCTGGAACAGGCTAGGTATTTCTTTGCTCCGAAACCAAACGGAAACGCTTGCTACGCAGGCTAAAAAGTGACATGTATCATTGCACTCAAGTAACAAAACGATGTCCAAACTTTTCTTCCATCGTTCGTTAGCCTGCGAAGCAAGCGTTTCCAATCGAGTTATTCTTCGAAAGTTAGAGCGGGAGCCAAAAAAGGTGGGTTTTTTTGCTCTCGTCCGTGCAACTTTCTCGACGAACACGCGAGGAAACGCTTACTACGCAGGCTAATCGTTCGTCAATGCTAACGGCCGTGTCTGTCAAAAAGATTGTTGAGTTCCAGAAATTTTGCTACCATGGAAACGTGACGTCACACTTCTCCTCTCTATTACGGCTTCGGATTCCTTGCCAAGGTAACAGTTATGTGTATTGTACCATGATCAGCGGTCAAAACGTACTTTCGTGACCAATGATTTCTCAGAGAAAGGTGTTGGGAATATGGGACTTAAAAACGCCAAAAAAATCAGGCAATTAAATGAAATCAAAACCATTTGTCCTTAAAAAAGAATTAGTATACATGACCCTGGATAATATTTTGTTTGACTGCATACACAGATTGTCATCGTTTCCTTTCATGCTGCGACGCGTGTACTGTTACTGACACCACACTGAAAATTAAAAAGATCTGTTTCAGCCCCAAATTGTCAATTCAGCCCTGCAGACCAAAGTCTGATTCAGCCCCTCCTGGAGCCATTTGAGCACAATTTACGCAAAAAAAGCTCAATCAAAAGGCTATTCCAGCCCACGGTAGGGCCCATTTCAGCCCTTGGACTAAATCAGCCCTATATTGGCCTTGATTGAAGGGAGCCAAATTAGACTCAAAAATAGGAATGTATTTTACTCACCGATTGAAACGGCCCTATTCTTAGGGCTAAAACAGATCTTTCTGATTTAGAGTGCATCTATAAATTTCGAAGGCAGCGTAACCAAGGGGTTAGAGCCCGCTTAACTTGCCGCAGAATCCGAAGGTCCCGAGTTAACATCTCGCCCTGTCTGCCCTGGCGCTGGATTTGTTCTCGGTAGGCCCGAGCTCAACAACTCGGCCACGCCTCCCCGGCATCCAGTTGAGATCCTAACTTATTGTATTTCTTTCAATTACCGTAAACTGCCTCTCATAAACCCTGCCCGCTTATGCATCTTTGTAAGGGGTTTTAGGAGAGCCTATATCCGGGGGGGGGCTTATATCCGAGGGGGTTTATGAAGGAATAGAAAAAGCGCTTCGAAAAAGCTTAAGCAGTGCTGATCAATATACGTTTTCAGGAGCCGCGGCTCTTAACGTTTTGTATTTGCTGGTTTTTAATGAAGCTTCAAAAATGTCATAATAAATCGAATTCATTTCAATACCACGGATGTATTTCGTTGTTTACAGCTAGATGGACCTAGAACTGCGGGCCTTACGAGTTGGTGGGGGTGGGGTGCTTAAAAGCGGCAGTGTACGGTATCTCATTCGTGTCATTGTTGTGCGTTCTGGGTTACCAGTAAAGGTGTTACCCCTACACAACCAAAGTAAAAATAGGCCAAGTCTAACGGTAATCAATCGAGTTAACTCCCGCCCCAACTAGTCAGGGAATACGGATTTTGCTCGTGGAATTCTGGCCCCGGGAAAATTTTGCTTGTGGAATCCGGAATCGTGGGCTTTGGAGTCCGGAATACCCCTCAAGAAATCCGGAACCCCATTAACGATTGGAACATTCCAGAATCCAGTTTCCACTGACAAATACTGGAATCCAGTACCTGAAATCCGGAATCCACTGCGTGGAATCCAGAATCCAAACCTGTCTTGGATTCCATTACATGGGACGAAGTAGTAACCACATTATCCGAGTAACAGAGATGCCGCACTTGCGTGCATTTCAAATACGCATTATAAGGTACTGTACCCCATGATACGATTAACAATCCTTTTAAGTGCCACACCCTTGTCAAATGGGATTACTTAAATTGATGATCACCTGCCGAGCAATAACTTCCCGTGGTCTTGTGAAAAGTTTTCGCGTGATTTAGTCTGATGAGTTTGTGGGAACCCAATAAAACCTGTCGATCTTCCATTTCCCTGTCATACGTTTTCTAAAACTTGAAAATGACAGGGAAGGCGGATTGTTTACAAGGATAATGACCCAGCTTTTTATAGTAAAGTCAACCATTATGAAACAAATTAGATTAGTTAAAAGTATCAGTTTAATCTTTCAAAAGCTTCTTATGGACTAATGAAATGGAGGTATAAAAGCCGGTAAAATATATATATCTGATTACGTATAAGCTTTCCTTGCAAACAATTACACTTCACTTGGGATACTCTATCCGTATTATGATATACAACGCATTTGCAGTCATATTAAAGGGCAGTATCACAAACGTTCTCCAAAGTTTTTTTTGCGAACTAGCCTACAATTATAACGGTACTTTCGCCTATTTACAAAATGGCCATTGAAAAAAGAAGAAACACATCTATTCAATTCTTCAGTTGGGAGCAAAAGAAAATTTTCCAATACAGTTTTTCAAATTGCAGTCTACTTTGTATTAAATTTCGGTGATACTGCCCTTAAATGCACACCAGTGAGGCATCTTTTCACGGGAATTAAAATTCTGTTGGCTAAAATTTCAGGTAGAATTAACTATAAACCTTCAATGAACCCACAAAAAATGCCCTCTCACTGGATAGGAAGCTGTCGAGTGAGTTCTTCAGAGAACTAAGCGCGCCAGCTTTTAATTTAATGGTTTCCTGCGGTACAAGTGTAGAAATGTAAAACTTTTTGGCCCAAAAAATCTATTTTCGACTTAGCGATAAACAATTCGCTGCAGCTGATCGAAATACCTTGCATTTCTTAGAGGTACTAAACATGGCAGTCTGCCCTGAAGGCCTAAACGAACCTGGATGTACATTCGTGACTCAAGAAAATATTATGAATTTACATTAAATCTTTTGATTACTAAGAAGCCCACTTATTTTCAACCCTTTCACTCCCACGATTGCTTTTTCGATTTTATTCCCATTGTTCAGTTCTAAGGATAAATTTTTCGACCACTCAAAAGATTTAGGGCGTGTTTGATTGATCGTATTCCGGAACAAGATTATATCGATAATCACTTGTTAGAAAAAGAAATAATTAGATAATTAAATAAATAGAAATCACTTATTTTGGCGTTTATTGTATTGCGACGTAGCGTCTAAGTTGTCCAAAAATTACAGCACAAGATATTTGTAACAAAACTTTTGCGTATTCTTATTCCGGAAGAAGATCACTTGAATTCACCTTTAGTAAGTAAAGTTTTACCGCTGTGCCGTTTAACGCGCTGTGAACGGTGGTTAAAGCTTTTGAATAAGTCAAGGAAATTCTTAAGTCAGTGTAACCATTTAAATAAAAGCGACTCAACAGAACTCTCCTGTAGCGCCGTTCTGGTTCTAACTTTCGGGTTTGTCAACGAAATTCTTAGGTGCGGCAATTTAGGTAAAAAAATTGAGAGCATTACCTTCCTGTGGTACTGTTCATTATCCTGTGCAAGATTATTCTAACTTCTGTGTGAAATCATCGGATGGGGAGTTTGAGGGTTTGTATTCGATTTCCTTCTAAATATGAAGTTAGCATTTCAGCAAAATGTACATACTTTTAACCGATGTGTATTTGTTCGTGACATGAATACCGTCCATATCTTTTGTATGTCATGTTATTTTGCAAAAGTCTATAGTTTAAAGTTAGCTGTAATTACATTTAGCCATTAATTCAGTTGCTGACGAAAATATTCTATACAAATTAAATCTGGGGCGGTTTCCGGAAAAGCAAAACAGGAAAGCGTGCCCTTGACTATTACGCGGAGAGCTCAACTTCCGCAACAATTTTTGTAAGACCATTAAATAGAAATAACACAAAAAATTACAGTCAGGAAAGAGGGCTTCACTTAAGTCCTAAAAGATCCGTCCCTATAAAGAACCGTTATTAAAAAAGTTAAAAAGTGAAATTCAGAACAAAATAACGTTAACAGAACGTCATTTAAGTTGTCGTCGTTAAAGACCCATAGAACATAACTTCCAATAGTGCTGGTTTCAACTGCAAGACTTGCAGACTTACATACGAAATATATCAGTTTCCAAGGGTTGAAACCTCAAGAAGAAGAATTAGGCAAATTTCCTTATTAAGTATCCCAATTTTGCTGAGATTACAGCTTGTCTTTTCCTTTAAAATGTTACGCGTCTCTTCTGTTAGTCCTGTACCTTTCTGCTCTTTAACATCTTGTTGACGACTCAGATCAGAAAGTCCTACTAAATACAGTATAAATGTGTTACGTTCTTACGGCGGCACGTAAGCCGGAGGCAATCGATAACCCGAGTAAGTTGGTTTCCTAGGGGTATTGCCACCGGGGCCTGCTTGGTTGCTGGGTGTTTTGAAAGAAGTGAAGGTTGGAGCCTGGTACCCTGTTCTCTCGGTCAGGGGGGTGTCACCATTGGCGTGACTGAGTGATGGACTCCTTGGATATATGGGAGGAGCAAGAGGTGGCTTCTCGTTCGGTAAGACAAGTGGTTGCTTCAGCAGCCTCTCTTTCACCTCGTATTCTTCCTGCAGGACAGCGGGCTTTTTCTGAAATACAAACACGTTCTTGTCTTCAAGCGAAAGCTTTCGCTTGCGACGCGATCGCATTACAAGGAAAAGAGCAATAACGATGACCAACAGTACAATAACAAGGATCACTACAGGGATAATGACGTAAGTCTTCCACGTGCTGCCAGTGGCTGCACCTACGACAACGGGTGAATCACCCGCACACGGTCCAAGGCCTTCAAATGACCCGGATGTGACCGGGAATTCAGGTGAGAGCGCTTCCTTGAGACTGGGACTAACATCACCGTCATTATTTTCGAATTGTTCTCGCAAAGGAAAATTGCATTCGTCTTCCGGAATTGTGTCGAACTGAAACTTCAATCTCACCGAACCTTCGACGAACTCCCTTATCCTTATATTGCTCACGTTAAGGTTGAAATAGTCGGCAAGTTTGTTCAGAAGATCCATTCTGATGTTCAAGTCGCTAGAAAACTTTGTAAAATTGTAATTCAGCGTGAGTTTGAACTGGTGACTATAAGATTGTGTGTCGTCCAACACGTTCACCTCAATCGCGTCCACAGCTTCAGCTCCCTTACTGTCGGTAGCAATAAGGAACAAATTGTAAAGTTTTACCGTATCTTTGTCAACAGGAAAAGCATAAATTATTTGTTTTACCGCATCAAGGCCAATCCAAGACGGCAGGGGCTCAGTTCCGCCTAGGGTTTTCAAAACTAGAGTCAGATTGGGTGTCAACATATCTTCTTTGTCGTAAAAAGTATCGTGGGGTATGTGGAATATAAGTCCTTGCCCTCGATAAACATCCAACCTGTCGATGGAATTTTTTAAGGTGGGGAAAGCGTTGCTTGGAACAGTTGAGCTTGGTACAACTGTTTCCACGGCTACCGGCGATGGTGTCGGTCTTGTAGAAGAGTCTATAAGCTCTTCAGTTGTAGACGACTCTTGTGATGTCTTCACTGTTGTGCTTGACACTTCAGTGGTTGTGGACTCTGCTTGTGTTGTACTCTCTTCCTCTGTTGTGCTTGGTAACGGTGTCGTGGTTGAAGTCTTAGTAGTCGGTTGTTCGGTAGTGGTCGGCTTTTCGGTAGTCGTCGGTTCTCTTGTCGTTGGCGGCTCTTTCGCCGTCGTCGGTTCTTCGCTGATGGTCGGTTTTTCGGTAGTGGTCGGTTGCGGGGTAGTAGTCGGCTGTTGGGTAGTGGTCGGTTGCTCGGTTGTGGTCGGTTGTTCGGTAGTCGTCGGCTCCTCTGTAGTCGTTGGTGCTATCGGAGTTGTAGTTGGTGTCACAGTAGAGGTAGGAACGACCGAACTTGTTCTAGTAACAGTAATTGTCACACTAGCAATGATGGATGTCGGCGGGGCAGCAGTTAGGGTAGGTGTGGGAGTCGGCTGAATCGCCCTTACGTTACGCCTTGAGGAATGTGGTGTAATCTTAGCGGATTTTCCCTGTACAGCTTGTCTGCGGGCTCGATGTCGTGGTTCTTTGGGCTGACCCACAGCAATGTGCCATTCAGTGACAGGAAGCCCAAGCGCGTGACTGAAGGCCCCAGTCTCTGCGCTTGATTTGAGAAAAGAAGCTATGCGCGCCCCTGGAGAAAGAAAGTAACGTAATTAGTCGAGCATTTCTCGCGAGGTTAGAAAACATTTAATTTCAGAATACTGGCCACATGCACGCAATAAAGGCTTGGTTTTGCAGTTTAAAAGCGAAGGATGCACGAAAGGTGTACTTCTAAACATTTTAACACCAATTATAACAAAACTGAAGAACAAAACATGATTTGCTAGATCTATTTAAAATTTTGGAGAGATGGATATTACCGTTTCCTGCTCGCTCTAGTTTGCTGACCGATTACTCGCTACCAGTAACTCGAATTGAGCACTGAAATTGCAGTCTGGGGGCCCCCAATTCGATGTCCGCCCTGACTTCAAGCTGGATTTGATTTTGATAGTCCAGAGTGCAACTTCTCTTTCACTTGTAAATAGCCAGCTGCCTTGTCTCCCGCCAGTTGGGATTCTTAACATTGTTATGTTTATTTTTAGATGTTTGTTTCTGTCCTTATTTGTGGCCCATAATAAAAACTACTTGGTTACTAGTAATTGTGTTACACTTTCTTTTTAATCTGACTTTAAAGGAGCTGTGTCACGAAATTTGTCAAATTTCAAAAAGGGAGAACTGCTAGCAATACAAGAGAATTCACGGATTGACAAACTTGAAGATTAAAACGGATCGGTTGTAATATTATTGTGGTTTTCAGTTTGAAAGAATTTTCTGATTTTAGGCTGACTTCCTGGCTGATAATTGACTAGCTTGCTTCGAGTATTTTTCAGATCATTCTTATTCTTGTTGTCTGTAACGGTTTCATACGATGGTTCGGCAAAGTTGTTTGCTTGGCACGAAGTCGTGATTTTGTCAGTAACAAGTAAATTCCTCGTTAACGCAACTTTGAAGTTCCTTAGCGAATTAACAGGCGTTACTGGTAATATTAACCCAATGAACTAGACAGTCGTGACAGAGACTGCGACCAGTATCTCTCTTTCTTCAGCTTTAGTGAGGGGAGTGCACGCGCGCGAGAACGTCGAGCGACGAAGCCGCGAGACGCGAGAAATGAGGGCGGCACGCGCGTGGTCATTTTCGTGTCTCCAGCGTTTCCCTCTACGAACTAAAGCTACAATAGAACGGGCAACAAAAACGTGAAACTTATTTTGCATCATTTTGCATCGTGTGTGGCAAAACGCGCAACATCGCTATTCCTCTCGTTTTGTAGCAATGTTGCAATGTTTGGTTGCCCGTTTTACCGTACCTGAAGGCTCGTAGACTAGCCGTGACACAGCCCCTTTAAAAATCCCTCGAAGTCGTCTAGTTGGAAAGAGGAGTTTAACTTACCAGGTATATCAATACCACAGCCGATTTGCCAGGACACCACCACACCAGGCTGCTTGGAATCTGCCACGTTTCCTGGTCCCGCAGTAACAGTTATTACATCCTTGAAACCGAAAGCCGTGTTGTGTCCTTTACCTGCCAATAAGTGAAGATTTTTCACATCCACATCAACAAAATCACTGACTTTATTCAAGATCTCTACTCTCGCTTGTCCAGAAAGTTTCCCTAAGTGGTAATCAAATATAATGGACGCTGCGGCAACAGGCAAGCCATTGGGACATTTTGGTTGTGGATAAGAACGAATCTTGGTATTGTTTGAGCCTGGTGAAGGCTGAAGATCGCCATCTCGTAAGTCTTTAATATCGATTTTCAAAGAATGTTTAATACTTCCGTCTTCAGCTTTAAAATCTAGGTTAAGTTCTCCTCTATCTCTCCATGAAGGCACACCAGTTAAAGATGCTTTCTTTGCATCATAAGACAGCCATTGAGGAAGTGATGTCTGTTCTTTCTGTAACACCTGGAAGTAGTTAAGAGAAGAAAAACAATTCAATAGATTCATTAGCCACTCCCTTGAGAGAACAATTTGTAAGCTCCAGAGAAAAATTAACAATCAAGCCTCGTTGTTTAAAGGTTGGAGAGCGCTATCCACCGCTTAAATCGCTGTCCAGTGGATAAGTGTCAGGGAAATCAGTTTCGTTAGCTGTGGAAAGTGATTTATCCGGTGGATAACTCTATCAACCTTTTGATAACTAAGGCCAGAAAAATATAATATTTTGTTGTGTAAAATAATGCGAAAGTAGATCTTCTGCACTCCGAAGTATTGTGGCAGAAGCCAGTTCAATGGTTGCCCTACAAGAATTCGTCTACAGCTAGTACAGTTGAAACTAATTTTACACAGAATGAACAGTGGCAGGGAGAAAAAGGGAAGAGGAGAGACAGGTTGGGAAAAACAGCCTTTCTCTTCCATCTTCCTTTCACGTTTTGCCCCGTCTGACCCCTCCCTTCTTCTACACGTTCTACCCAGGTCCGCTACAGTACAGGATACCACTCAGTAATCCGATTTGCAGTCTCTCACTTTTGGATCAGTCCATTTTTCATAGGCTAATTTTAAAGTTAAGAGCAGCCAAGTTGGAGCAATGCCGGAAATTCACTTCCGGTTGGAAATGAACTGGTTGACAGTCCTACTATTTGTCAATTATCTCCCCAATTTACATACTGAAAGAGTCATTTATGGCTTGGGATCGCTCCCTGGCAAGTGGCCAAAAGAAATCTTCGACGTAGATTGTTGCCAGTATTATCTTAGTACCGCACCAGAGGAAAATATTGCTCAGAAGCTTTCATTGACAGTCCTTCACAGATTTAACCTCACCCAACAGCAACAAATGAATAGAATTAGAAAAGCTCTGTCAGCATGCTCGCGGTTTTTAGTGTTTTTTTGTGGGCCGATTATAGCTCAATCCTATTAGAAGATTCATTTCCGTCAAAACCGAGGACTTTCAGTCAAAACAAGCCTGACCTCACGTACTGGATTTTGTCAGGATTCCCTGAAAATGTTGCTACAAAAGGGTCAAGTAAATAGAAGATTTACTTGACTTTCACCCGAAAAGTCAGAAATTTTCAAGAAAAGTAAGGAATGAAGTAGTTTTTCCAGTCTCCCCTCTCATGACATTTCCGATCACTAACAATGACATTCTTAAAAAAGTGCAGACCTTGCAGTAATAGGATTTATCACTTTTACAAACATTTTTAACAAGTTGAAAAAGAAGTTATAGGAAGATGCAGACAAACTTTGGAAATTACACAAAAGATTTGAGACATACGCCCAATCACGCCTGTCCGATATTATGTTCCCTAACGGTCAATTGTGGTCTAATACGAACAGTACCGCAAATAATTTCTCCGTCCTTTTCAAGCCACTGGAAAGCAGGTGGTGATTGCCAAACAAGGCATGTCTTAAACACCTAGTAGTTTATAGTACATATTACTTATGACAATAATGCAATAGAAATTACAATTGCGACTTCAAGCAAATTGTACGCACTTTTCGAGTGTGTCAAGTAAGCGAGATTTTCATGGCCCGGCCTGCCGATCGCGTGATGGTTCAAAACTGGCTTGGCAGCAACTGTTTCGAAAAACGGCAGGCTATCATGACCGAGACATCAAACCATCCTTTACATACCGTAAATAGATTTATTTAACTTTCAATTCAACTAAAACAGCAAAAAACAAATCATCTAGAACATCCCATCAATGTTTTGTTTTTGAGGTGGAGCAAAAGCAGTTAGGGTGATATATTGAGATAGAGTTGAAGTCCGGAAATCATATCAGCAAAATACGCCAGACGTCACATGTTAATGCGCAGACAAACGAGACCTGTCCATTGCGAAACCGAAACCCAACATATTTGTTCAGTCAACTAGCAATCAGGTAGTAGAACAACTTTCTTCTCTTGCCAGAGAAATCACAGATAAACTGATAAATAGCAGCGATAAACAGGGAATCACATAGCGCGGTTTTGAAAGAATTTTTTTCGCTATGACCGGTATGTCTCATGCATTCTGTCCATTTGACACTTCAGCGGGTTTTAATTTCTTCATACAACACCCTAATTCTTCACCGCCATGAAACCACAACAAAGAGCGTGATACAGAAATCGTTTTCAAATATGGCTATACTTACAAAGTTTCGCGCTAAACTGCATTGGCAAAAATGTTTTAGAAAAAAATTATAGCGCACGCGAGAGCGCACGAGAGTGTAAAATGTGACAGGGCTTAATACAGATCACATGCATCCTTGATGAGGAATATTCTTTGGTACGTTGGAAACCACGTTGGCCAAGTTCAACGTGCGTGCTGTGTTCTCATAAAGGGACGTCATTCACTTGCTTATTTAAAAATGTCTTGAAATATTTGCATTCACAAACACGCAGATGCTAAATGAGCAATACAAATGCTAAACAGAGATTATAAGTTTGATTGTTCGGTGAAGGACGTCCGCCGAAAACATTACCCGCGTAATCATTAGGATAGAAATTTATTTCAGTGTTAATCAGAATACATAAAGAACGTCACAAAATGCTATAAAGAACAATGTAAAATAGTATCAAGCCTTATGAAAGTGACTAAGAAGCTAGGCTATTTGTACCGATAATAAAAACTTGTGCTCAATTCATTTTATACCTCCGCAAGAGAAACGTCGTTACAAACTCACCTCGTACTGGCCTTGTTTGTCTAGTCCCTCTTCTGCCAAAGTATACACAAATATTCTTCCTACAACTGCTATTGAATTATGGAGTCTTTCGTCTCTTTGTTGGTTCTCGCATGCGGTGAATACTACAACTGTGAGCAACAAGCACGCCAGACACGCTCCACGGATTACAAATGCCATGGCGAAGGTCCTTTACACTCCGTATTTCGACAACTGGCTTTGTATCACCAATTCTCCGTGATATAAAATGGTCTAACGAGATTAACCAACGCCAGCGGCAGTGATTTGACGAATTTCAGCGCAGTTCTTCAGCCCTGGTTCCTCTCCTGAAGGAAACGTTTTACAACAAGAAAATATTAGCAAATATCCGCCCTAGTTCTGAAGGGCCGATGACAAACTGCTTTAACAATAATCTTTATATTTATACCTCGTCAGCTCTGTTCCCTTAATACTCACGTCCACTGGCAGAGGGAACTTAATAATCGCTGGGATTACCCCTCAAAAATAACATTTACACGTTAAGACTAGAAAGGCACCTAGCTACAGAGATTATAATTATTAGCAAGGGCTTTGTGTGTGCCGCCGGTATAAATTCCACAAGAATGCCCTGATTACGACCGCGACAAATTCCAAGCCAAGTCGAAACCCCGCGGGGTGCCTGACAATGAAAAGTTAAATATTAGAAGTCATCACCAATGTTTTCCTGATGAGACCAATTTGGAAACAAAGCTTCTGTTTTTTCCTACCTCTGTAACAGCTTGAGACGAATCGAAGTTTACAAACAATGAGAAGTGAATTAATTCTCTGAAAGAGTGTAGTGTTTCAAGGCTTTAACACTGGAATACTCTTTCTTTCACGGTCCTGTAGGTTTGACCTTTTGAGCTTAGGATGGCCGGACGAAGCAAAAAACACTCACCTGAATGGTGTCAAATTGCCTCTCAAGCGATGACGAATGATCAAAAGCTGTTCTTGGTTTTTTGAAGTCACACAGCTGTGCTATATTGTAGGTGCTATAACTTTGTGATAAGAGTTTTAAACCTCACGTATGATACCAACAAGGAATTCATTTTTAAGTTGGAAAATTAATCCCTTTAAAGCCATGTTTTCTAAGGAAACAACAGAGAAAGTGGCCTAGAACTATAGTATCAACATCAAATGTCGCTTTTTACTATTGCTGTGTTCATTCCCTGGGGTGCCATTTAGCTTTGAAAAGTCACGTCCAACACTGAAATATCCTTGCTTCCCTGGGCCACGACACAAAGTACATTTAGGTCTATTCAAACTCTGTTTGTAAAAGTGTACAGCGTACATTTATATGAAGAGAATTTTCTTGTTTACATATGCACTATTTTTTTTAACAATTCTGACCCTGTGGCATTGTTAACAAGGAGACGTACAGAAGATTGCAAGTACTGCTAAATGAAACACAGATCAGACAGCTCTTATCTAACAGTTGTCAGCTGAATTTGCGATTTTAAGCTCCATTCCAGGAGATTATTTGTTTGGGCATTTTTTTACTTATATAAATGAATTGCATGCGGCTACAAGAAAAATATTAGAATGTGACGCAAAGCCACCGAAAGCAGGCTGGCTTAAGAGAGGGGGAAAATACACCTAAATGTAAGCATAAAGGATGTAAAAACCCACAAGGTGAGGGCATATCTGATAGTATTTATCAGAGTATTTAGAGCTCTAATTGTGAGATTTAAAGTTCTCAAAACCCGTAGACCCTGATATTGATAACTAAAACCAACCAAAAAAATAGTTTTTGAGTTTACATCACGGAAAAGCGCGATCCAAAAAAAATTTAACAAAAAGATAAACGGACGCGAAATGCTGGACTTCTTGGCAAGTTTTTTTCTTCAAATAATAGTTGTCCTTTTTGATGCAGTTATTCATCGGAAAGGAAAATAATCTCTAGTTATCTCAGTTTTCCGTGTTACTTACTTTAAAAAAATAAAAGGTTTAAAGGTTTGTTTATAGTGGAAAGTGTTATTTAATTTTGTTACTTACACATAATACACGAATTTAAACGTAATGGGTGGTTTCAATATAAAAGAACACCCCCGAGCAGAACTCCCAGGTCCCACGCACCGGGAAGAGGATCGTGATCAGTTTTTGTCAAAAGAATTACACTTTTGAATGTAAATTGTATATGAGTTTCCTCAATAAAAGTTTGGAGTGAGTCAATCCTAGCGATAACCTGTACAAGTACAACTTCGAACAACTGCTTAACTACCATGCAGACAGAGCATTGCAAGCTTGAAAACTTCTGTTTAATTTGTTGTTTCGTTTTCGAGCATGGTTTTTTGGTTTGTTTTTGATGATGATATCCAAATCTTGGTGGCAATAACAACATTTTAGTCACCCGACTAACGCCTCATGACCGTTCGAAATACCTGAAAAACTCAAGTCGCTTTTTTCATCGCTGTTTTAATTATTGCTCGTTTATTTTTGGATTGACCTTAGCTTGAATTTGTATGCTAATTACTTTAGTCACAACTGCACATTGCCCCATCTTATTTCATTGTGATCACGTTTTTGTTATTATCCCTTTTTAGGCTCGCTAATCAATAAAGTTTGGCATGAGGTCATAACCAGGTGCTATTTATTCCACCGTCTTCTATCTTAAAACACAGCTTGCCGGTTAACAAGGACTGGATTGAAAAGTGAGAAATAAATAAATATAGAGTTATCTTCTATATCAGATAGATAAGGGTAATGAATTAGCCCTTTTAAAATTCCAGTTCTCTGGTTGCTTGCGTGTGTGGAGTGTTTGACGAATGTGTTCCAGTTGTCTACATATACCCAGACTCGACAAAGCTTGGTGTGTAAAAAGTCTTAAGTTATTTCACGAGAGAACTGTTTTAAAAACATTAGCGTCGAATTCTGAAGTAGGCGAAATCCTGGACCACCCTGACCACTGAGCTCCGAGGAGAACACAACGACAAATCGCTAATAGGAACACTAAATGCTATGTACTGTCTCGTTATCTTTCTATTAGAGGGATGGATACATCGAACTTAGCATTATTGATCATATAACAGCTGCCCTAACCTCGACACACTACCCACTACAAAGTTGACCTGAGTTAAGAAAGTTGATCTGCCAAAACTAACTAGACTATCTATTCTTTCTCTTGTATTTTATCGCGCTGTTAAGTGTTTATCATGAAATACAAACCCTTACTTGTGCGGGTTGTAAGATATTGTTAGGGCTTTTTATAATTCATGATTTTGTATCATGCCAAAAAAATAGTTTCAAATTTCAGTCGTAAGTAGTTGCAATATTATTGACTATTATCGCCCGAGAAAAATCGAGAAGGTCTTTGTTTCAATTTACTTCCCTACTAAAGCCAGTTGTGGGAAAATTTAACATAAGCTGATTAACAACTTAGTCCAGTTTATTGCGTTGTTGCACTTAAGGTCATGACATGATGTCAAAATATTACTTAGTAAACTCTGGCATACTGCCTCAGAAACAAAGGAGAGCTGAAAGGAACATTTTAACGTTGTTTTTGTAAGATTTCCATCGTCTAAAACATCTCGTCAATTTTTAGGACGGTTGAAATTAGTAAATTTGGGTTCTTCTTAGGTTAGAAATTTCAACTGTCTTTTTTAACTCTTTAGGTTTTTCAGGATGGACTCCTGGTTTTTGAGGTTTATGAATGAGTCAAACAATAATTGTTTGACTTATTCATTATTGTATTACTTTGACATACTTACAATACAGCCGAGGCTCCTGGTGTGAAACGGTCGAGAAAATTTCGTGGTTTTGTGATTCATGTTTGAAACTGATAGCGCCTTCTATTTGCAGCAGTTATAAGGAATGCAAAGTTCTAAACTAGGTATGTGAAAGGGGTGCCATTTTGTCAATGGAAGGTGTAGGAAAGTGGTACTTTTTCCGTCAAAAATGGTATATAAATGGCTCGGGGGTTGGTCCTTTGGGCGGAGCCTCCCCGTGTAAGACTTTGTTGAGTACCCCCTCCCCTGGGGAGAAATCTAGGCGTGGCTGAGCCTCTATTTGACGAACCCTTAGCCTGCGTAGCTGGCGGTATTGTGTAGTAGAGGGTCTCAATGGGGTTAACCGATAGGCGTAAAACGGCCAAAAATTTAGCCGATAGCCGTAAAAATTGAAACATTTTAACCGTTAGCCGTAAATAGGGTAAAAAAAGAGTTAACCGTAAAAGAAAGTGTGTACTGT